TCTCCTGAATACTAGTTCCTTTCAAATTGGTGGCAACAATAAATCATCCCTCCGCTCCCTTGCTTCTTTTCAATTAGTATTATATATGACTATATTGTTGCTGGGGGTAAGGGCTCCCAACTGATGACCCAATGAAGTTTCTACAGAAGGTACAGAATTCCATGCAAACTTTTTCAAAACATCGGAGGGAGGGGTTCCCGCCAAAAGGAACAGCCACACAGCACAGAAGCGGGAGGGAGACCCCTTGTTAGAACAGCCGTATCCCATGGTAACAAGACAGAGGCCTTCAACCCGCTTTAAACACAAACAAACCCCGCCAGTTCTATCGGATGGAGACTAACGAATCTTACTGAGTCACTTACTAAGTCGGGATGAAGAGGAATTTAAGAAGGGTAACCCCAAAGGCCACAGGCAAGAACCACCCGCCGCTTCTCTCCGCCGCCATGACAGTCTGCTTCTTGGCCAAGAAGGCAGCGCTGCGCATGCGCAGTAGGAGGCAAGAGGAGTAGGAGGCAAGAAGAGCATGCGCAGTAGGAGGCAAGAAGAGCAGCACGCGGAGTCGTCGGTATCGAATGCGCATGCGCCACGCCCGCGAGGTGGTGTTGAAGAACGGCTTTCTGCCTCAGTGCGCATGTGCGGAAGGGGGACTCGTGTAAGCACTGCGCCTGCGCGCTGCTTTTGAATGTGTTCCATGGTTCATTCATTCATTGCTTTTCCAACTCCTAGGGTGAGCACTTGGTGGAGATCAGTGTTATCCCATTGATTTAAATGGGAGAGAATTATTTAAAAAAAACTAATAATGTAATAAGAATTCAGGGAGGAAGGTATGTTTATGTTGGAGAAGATGGAGAAGTGTGTGCTTCTGTATGTGTTCCCAACCAGCCTGTTGATTTATACTTGCTCCATTCATTTCATAGGATTTTCTCAGGAAATGAAACATAACCTACACTTGATATTTGTTATTTGGTGGTTTCCCTTATTTTGGCCCCTTCTGCACTGCCATATAATTCAGATTATTAATTATTATTATTATT